CAGTAATAGGCCTTGGGTTACTGCTGGTAATCCTGTCTTCCTCTTGTGAGATTAGAGGAGGTCAGAACATGTGGCCTCCTTGCCGTTTTTGCAGTGACAATGTACAGAGAAATTAATTTTCCATACAGCAGCTCACATACACTTTGTCTCATGACATTGACTTCAATTTCCCACCAGCATTTGGTATTTTCTGTCTTGTAGAACTTTGCTACAAGTACTGGGGCAAGATCTCATTGCTGTTTTGATTTGTTTCTCTCTACTGGCTAATGATCATGAGTATTTCTTCATGTGTTTGTTGTCCACTTGAATATACTCTGGCGAAGTGTCTATTCACGCCTGTGGTAGTTAAGTTTGTGTGTCAACTTGGTAGGCCTGGTTGAGTGGCTGGGCAGCTGTATGTAGTATTCCCCATGATGAGACTGGTAATCAACTCCATGGTAGGGCATGTGAGCAGCTGAGTAGCTGCCTTAGGGATATAATCCGCTTCCTATACATAAGGAGAAGCCTTGGGGAACGGTCTCTAGCTTATGGCACACTTGAACAATACATGTAGCTGAGCTGTTGTTCAGCAGCCTGCCGTACTCCGCCGATCCTGGGACTTTTAATGGACTTGAATTAACGGCCTGCCGTGTGGTTTTGTAAAATCGGGACTGTGCTTTATTACTTGTTGACCTTGGGCATGTCAGCCTCCGAAGAGGCTGAGTGAAGAAAAGCCTCTAGCTTAAGGGGGCTGGGAACAGGAGGCAGAGCTGAAGCCCAACACTGAGGGCCTTTCACCCAGCCCCTAGAACCTGGCACTTTGAACTCAGACTTAAAGCCTCCCAATTGTAAGAATAAACTCCTATTTGTTAAGGCCATCCCATTTGTGGTATATTCTTTTTTTTTTAATTGTGATTTGGGTGAAGATTTACAGAGCAAATTCACTTTCCATACAGCAGTTCGCATATACTTTGTCTCATATCATTGACCACAGTTTACCACAATGCAACAGCTCTCCTCCCACTTCCTCCCCACAGTTACCTCTACCCAGTGTCCATCCCTCCATACACTCCTGCCCCCTGAGCTGTCTCCCTGTGCATAAGCAGCCCTTCTTTCTCCCATGATTGTTCTCTCCAAAGAGTGTATCTACTTGAGGTAAATGTTCAACTCATATGCCTGTCTTTTGTTTGGCTAGAAAACACAGGTGTGGGTTCAATTCCAGACCTGAAGGGCAGCTAGGGGCCACAGTCTCAGTGGTTTGTGGTATATTCTTGTCAGAGTGGCACTAGGTAACCAAAACAATGTCTTCTGTCTTTTTAACCAGGTGTTTTTATCTTTAAAGGTCAGAAATATTACAAAGTGAAGATATGCCAGGGACTCCCTTGAAACTGTAAGATAGCCAAATGCACAAAGCTTACACAATAGTATCCAATTCAAGACATTTCTTTGGGTTGGATATTTACTCATCAACCCTGTTTTGTAAGCATGACAATACGCTGACTTTAATATTTAATAGTAACCGTTTGAACTTATTACAAACTTGATACCTCAACACAGTCAGAAATAAATACTAAAAAGTTGGCCTTTTATGCAAGAAAAGCCACAGTGATTTTTTAAATCTTTTTCTTACCCAATAGTGAAGATATTTTTACTTCCCTGAAATGTATAGACATGCCCCTAGGGCTTGTTAAATTGTTGATGCTTTCTATATATTATATAGATTAGCTCTAGTCCAGCTCCAAGAAGATGAGAACCATTTGTTTAAAATGGTGGGAAAGGTCAACTAACATTTGTATGAAACTCATGAAAAATTCTGAGATTGTGGAATCAGAACAGATTCTCTACCAACTACTCTGAGTAAGTGGTTAACAGAGAATCTAGCTAGGAGAGCTGTGCTACAGTTCCTGAAAAAACATGCTAAATAAAAATCTTTCAAAACACTCATAAACACAATTACTTTGCATCAAAGTGTAACATGCAATTTCCTTCCACTTCAGGAAGAACAGATGGTATAGAAAATAAAATCTGTAGGTGAGAGATTCACAATTCATCAATTCATATCTACTGGTCTCAATTCTACTCAATTTTCTTTGCACATTTAAGAGCATTTCTTACCTTTTTTGATATAGATGGTTTTACTTTCTTGAAAGCTTCCTCAAAGTGTTTAAGACTAATCTTGAGTTCACCTGTGGAGCAAATACAGAAATACAGAAATCTTGTAGAGTATGCTAATTGTGATTTAGTTTCTCTTGAGAGGCTTCAAAGAACACTGATGAGATTAGTGATGAGATAGGCTGTCTTATTTTTCACAACAGTATATATTCTGCTTATTAGATTTTAATCCAATTGTTACCCCAAAATACATTCTCTACCACTCATAAATAGGTGCCTTTTTGTAGGTCCTCTTCGCATTGTTCAACTTAATGGTGATGCTTATAAAGAAGAACCAGAATTGTTCTTTTTTTAAGATAATTCAAGTAAATTTAACTGGGAGTGAAAAGGGAGAATTCCATAGTAATCACTACAAGATATATAATTAGATGTTATGGAGTTATAATGTCCCAATACTGGGAGCAAAAAAAAAAAGATCAACTCATTGCTGTTGAGTTGGATCCAACTCATAGCAACCCCTCCTTGGGTTTCCGAGGCGGTATCACTACAGAAGTAGATTGTCTTCCTTCTAAAGAATGGTGGGTTTGAACCGGGAGCCTTCTGGTTAGCAGTCAGATGCCTTGGGCACTACGCCACCAGAGGTGCTTCCCCCAACACTGGGAGGGGGTTATAACTCTTTATAGGGCTATGTCATTACATAAGTAAGAAAAATAAAAAAGTTAAATAAGGCTTGGTTTAGATGTGAATAGGACAACTTACATAATAATTTATATTTATAACAATAAACTCCTTACATAGATATTAGATAGACCTTTTATCTAACAATAAAATAAAATGCAAGTTGGGTGACATTTCTGATTTCAGTTTTAATAAGATAACGTATCAATACAAAGGCCCTACAGAACAGAGGTAGCTAGAAATGAAAGCAGCAGCAAAAGAAGACATCAGAATTTGTTTTATTTCTAAACATATATTGTTGTGGCAAAGTGTGACCCAGATCCACAATCAGGAGACCAGGAGGATGAGGAAAGACAGACTTTATTTTTAATGACTAGTTGGGCTCAGAAGAATAGCTTCCAGAGGCTAAGCCCCGAATTACAGGCAGGTAGGATTTTTATACACAGTTCAAAAAGGGCTGGGGTAAGGAGGCTGCATAGCAGGCAGGCGGGGGGGAGTTCTTACTCAACAGTCAAATTACTTAACATTATTTAACAATGGTCACATTACTCAACAGTCTTATTTTAGGCAGGAGGGGAATTTTTGTTTGCTGTCTCATGTATATATACTTCATTGCCATTGAGTCGAATCTGTTTCATGGTGAGTCTATAAGATAGCCTAGAACTGCCCCATAGGGTTTCCAAGGCTATAATTTTTTTCAGGAGCAGACTGCCACATCTTTCTCTTGTGGAGCAGCTGGTAGGTTTGAACTGCCAACCTTTTGGTTAGCAGCCAAGTGCTTAACCACTTCACCACCAGGGCTCCTTATATATTTATATACTAATATCCAAATGGGATTATTAGCAGCAAATAACACATGTTCAGGGCCTGTTAATTTCTAGTGACAAAACAGACTACAAGACAGCTTCAGTGAGATTCAGCTCCTAGGCAGCACTCTAGGAAATTTTTTTTACAAGATATTCTAATTTTGTGGAACTCTGGTGGCATAGGGCCTAAGACATTTGACTGCTAACCAGAAGGCTGGTGGTTCAAATCCACCAGCCACTCCTCAGAAGGAAGATTGGGCAATCTACCTCGGTAGTGACACTACCTTGGAAACTCAAGGAGGGGTGGCTATGAGTCAGATCTGACTTGGCAGTGAGTTTTTTTGTTTTGTTCTAATGTTGTTCATTTATATCCTACCTATTTCCAAAAAAATTTAAAGTAATTTAAAAAGAAGTTCAGGCAACTGAATCTTAAAATTACCAACAAAAAACCAGGGACTTTATAATGAACATATATGTGTTGACAAATCTAAGCTAAGAAGAGCTGTTATAACTGAAACAAAATTTAGCTCTAAGATTCATAGTAGCCAAAGAAAAAATGGAAAATCAATATAAATTAAAAAAGCCATCTTCTGGCATTTTACTGAACAAAAGGAGACTAATATAGACATGAACTTTAAAGTATAGATTCTGAAGGAGAGGGTGAGTCTTTGTAAAGAAAGATACTCTACATGACTATAAAGCAAAAGAGATAGACACAAGCTGCAACTGATCTAACAAGTATCAAAGAAACCAAGGAAAGGAAAAGTCATTTCCATTCTTGGTGTGGTTGGAATGTAGATCCCAAATCAATCTTTTTTGGCTACTGCTAAAGGGGAATGGAGGTTGCATTTTTTGACCTCCTCTAATTACACCAGAAGGCTGGCGGTTCAAACCCACCAGCCACTCCTCGGAAGGAAGGTTGGGCAATCCTACTTTCGTAGTGATACTGCCTCGGAAACCCAAGGAGGGGTCGCTATGAGTCAGGGCTGACTCGACGGCACATAACAACAACAACAACAACAATTACACAAGGGGAAGACAGAATCACCATCAGCAGCCCAAGCCTCTGTTCCTATGAGGTCAGACATGCTGCCACCTCCAGCCCTCTTACCAACCTTACAGCCAACCATACATACCACGGAACCCACCACATCTTTGCTGGGTTCGAAAATTCACTGCAGTGGCCACACAGAACTCACAGATTATGGGGTTTATTAAGGAAGCAATAGGCTACAATTCAAGTTCAGGAACACGCTCCGGCGGCAGTTCCTCGATCAGAACTGTCTTCCCTCTGCTGTGCCTTTAGACATGCCTCTCCGGCTCTTGGTCTCTTGGCCTGGCCTCTGCCTCTGTGGGCCAGGTAAGCCTGCCGCTCTCTCTCATGCCTCTTGGTTCCACTGCTGCCATCTCTCAGCCAAGTGTTCTCTCAGCTGGGTGTCTCTCTCAGCTGGCAGTGAGATTGCCCCTCTGCCTCTAAGAGGGCTCATTTTAAGCCTGGCAGAGTGGCAAAACTAACCAATTCCAGCATCAGAGTTCTGCACACCTGACAGAGAGTGAAGTTTCCCACAAGATTACTTTATGCTGCTACAACAGAAATACCCCAAGTAGATGACTTTAACCATCAGGAGTTTAAAAGTAGTTTCACAGCAAATTCCACTATGGAGTTAATTGCCAGTCTCATTATAGGAAATAACTACTACCAACTGCCCAGCCAAGTTGACACCTTATTTGCATGGTCCCACTCAGTAATCCCATGGAAGTTACAAAGACTATGGCTAGAAAAGCCATACCATGTAATTCACTACACTGCAGGCCACTCCCTGGCTTTTCTAGTCATTGTCCCTTTTATATTTCAAAAATTCACATTCCCTTCACCATCAGTTTAAGAATAACCACATCCATGAAAGTGTATAAGCCAGCCACTTCATGCCTTTATCTCCCCCCATTTTAGAGAGCTAATTTCTAATGTGCCCATCTCTATCAAACCAGTACTGAGAAGAAAAACATGTTCCTTTCTTTCTGAAGAATCTTCTGTTCTGCTTGGAACTTTGGGTATCTGCATCCACAAATAAACAAAGGCCAACCCAGTGCGAGCCGTCAAATTGCAGCAACTTAACACCAGCTCAGTGTCAAACATCTTCCTCTTCGTTTGGTCGTGTTCTGGTCAGCTCAGCCCTGGTCATCCCTGCTAGGTCATGGGTACCAGCTGCCAAGTTTGGGAGTCACACTCCTCTCTTTACTTCAGACCAGCCAGCACCCTCTCTCTTTCATCTGTTTCTCAGCTGGGCATTTCTCTCTTAGCCTGGTGTCTCTGTCTCAGCCAAGAGTCTCTCTCAGCCAGCAGTGAGATTTCCCCTCTGCCTCTAGGAGGGCTCATATTAAGCCTGGCAGAGTGGCAAAACTAACCAGTCCCAGCATCAGAGTTCTACACACTACACTGCAGCTACACACACCCAAATGGTAAAAGAAGACACTGTCAAATGAGGAGGATGGTACAAAGCTGAAGAGATGGCCCTAGACTGTCACACAATAAAATACATGGATTTTTATTTTGAAAGGAAAGTCTCAATAGATGGAAAGTATTTCAATTTTCACATCTTATGTGTGTGTTTTCTAAACTGTCCAATTCAAACTGCATTTTAACAGGCAAGTAGATATCACCTTAGCAAAAGAATGAGAAGATCAAACTCATAAGACTATGCTTAAATCTAATAATTGGGTGTGAAAATAAGGGAAAATGCAAAATTTTCTGTTAGAGAGGCACTACAGAGCCTTGCTATTTTTTACAGCTGTCAGCCACAGAGGTTACATAGCATGCCAGAACACTTTCTAAAGCTCTCATCAGAAAAATGCAGCTCTACTATCACAGATGATAGATGTTAGAAAATGATCCAGTGTTATTTGAAAGGTCAGCTGGGGGTGGTGGTGGTGTGTGCTTTAAGCATCGAGAGTGATCTTTAGAATTGAGAGATCCTAGAAGAATCATACCTTTTTCATTTCCACTCTTCTGTCTTGCCATTTCCTGTCTCAGGGCACAGAGAGAAGCTTCCCGCACCAAAGCAGAGAGATCTGCACCCCTATGGTAAAATAAGTGGTCTTATTTCTTTATTCTTAGACACTGCAGAAGAACAGGAAGAGCCTGATAACAATGTTCTATTAAATCACATATTAAAAACTCAGGAAAGAAACTGACCAATAAAAGTGAGATAAACTGATTATGATCAGTGGGAATGAACTTTTACTTAAAACATTTAACCTAACTTTTAGCTACAGACACAGTAAAACTTGTGAAAGCCAGAACCTATGTAAGGTGGAAAAGCTGTGAGACCTGGAAAAACAAGGCAGTCTCATTGAGTTCTGGTTCTCACATGTTTCAGTGTATTAATGTTAATACAAAAAACTCTAAAACATCCAATCAGTGAAAGAAACTTCGAAACGTTTTAAAGATGTACTATATTTCCATTTACCAGGGCTATGCTAAAGTGCTGACCGGCACACTCATAATATTAACTAATGTCTAAAATAAGCTTAAGGAGATCTGGTGGCACAGTGCCTAAAGTGCTTGACTGCTAACTAGAAGGCTGGTGGTTCCAACCCACCAGCGCTCCACAGAAGGAAGATGGGGCAATCTACTAAGATTTACGGCCTTGGAAACCCAATGGAGGTCACTATGCGTTGGAACTGACTCGATGGCAGTGGGTTTGGTTTTTAAAATAAGCTTATATAAAAGTCATTTACAGCTCCTTATTCAAAAGAGGAAAATATAAAGGACAGAAAATCTTTGATGAACTTGATTAAAGGTCAAGGTGAGTGGACACATTATAAGGTACTTAAAAACATGACAAGACCTCACAAGGCTTCATTTAATTATTCACATAATATGCTGAGCTAGCACTGCTCTGAGGTCACTGAAAGACACTGGTGCTGACTGAAGTTTCGCTCTTTATAGGTTTGACAGGATTCTTAAGACTCTGAGAAAAATTTTAATTTGGACATAAAAACCTCTAGATATTAAACTTATTATATTTTATATATTTTGTGGATTGTGGTTGATAAACCACGTAATATATAAAATTAAAGACTCATGAAGCTTAAATTATTAGCTGAATCTAATGTTTCTTTTTGGTTAAGTGGTAGAATTACAAAAATTATTAATGATAATGTACATGCTAGGGTTTTCATTTCTTAATGTTAAACCTAACATTGGTGCAGAGACAACATAAACTAAACTGGGAACTGAAGACTATACTAGTACATTCTTTCTCACATTGTGCTGACAGTGGCATTACAATCAAAATGTACATACACCTTTCAACTTCAACCCTCACTCCTTTATAGGCTGACACCAGACTTGGCATAACACAAAGGATTTAGCCCTGGGTAAACTCTGCCATCAAAACTCCCTCTGTTACTCACTGAAAATCATTTTAGACTTTGGCACCCAAAAGTGAACATGATTTGCACTTTTTGTCTTTTTTCTTTTGCTACAGTAGTGAGATCATTTAATTACAAAGGTTTGATTCCCACCTAGGGAAGATGCAAATCCTTAAAGGGAGGCAGCGGCTTTCAGGCAGCCCCTCCCCACCTGGTCTGGGACTTTGTTTCCCTTTATTGAGAATCACTTCCTTTATGAAGAGAGCCATGATTATGAATGAGGGTGCATCTGGAAATACTCAAAAAGTGCTCGCTCGTATTATTGCCAGTGGAGAGCTTCTTTGTATATAAACTTACAGCGCTGAGTAACAGACTTCTGACTACCTCGACAATTTTGAAAACACCAAGACTACCTTAGTTTTGGTAAGTCCCACCTTATTTGGACTTGCCCTAGGGAAATACTGGGAGAAGCATCACAATCAACAGGGCTTAAAACACAAGCCCAAGGAAGGCATGTCTCTTGGGATGGTTAACAAATTTATTTGAAAACATATGAAGAAGAAACCAAAACCAAAACAAAGCACAAATACATGAAAGCCAAAGGCAGAAATGTTTTTCTGCTTTTACTGTAGGCTGTGCGATGTTACTAGCTGTGCTGTGAAAATGTAATGTGAGACTTGGCAAATGTAGCACAGACAGATTATTCTCTGTTGAAGCGCTAAAGCACCTGGGTAATTTGGCAACTAGTCGTGAAATATCCGCTCAATAATTTTGTTAGAACAGACGCACAGAATTTGGGAAGGACAATAATGGTGGTTAGGGCAGCTGAGTAGCAAGAGCCATGTGAAAGGATTCCCTATACCCAGGAATTCCCTTCGGAGGCTCAAATTGGCTACTCCCTTCTCTAGGAAAGATGCAATACAAAAGAGCCAGACACTGTATTAGGTTCTTTGTGTGAAACATCATTTAATCCTCCCAAAACCTGGTGAGGCAGCATCATTTCTGCTCATTTTACAGATGGAAAAACTGAGCCTCAGAAAGTTAACCTTTTTATGACCAAATTATTTTCTGCTTTGAATTTTTTGTTGATACCATGTGTTTTCTGTCATGGAGGACATACTGAAATCAAGGAAAAAAATTTTTTTGAGGTAATATGGATTTTGATATAAATATATGGGATATGTACTTCCCAAGTGGACTCTGGTGGTAGGATTGGCGGGGCGAGGCCTGTTTCTTCAGATTCACACAGTTACATAGGCCCCTACCAGGCGGCAGCCATACTACAACCAAGATAGTAGCTTCCCAGGAGACCTGAGAGGACTGAAAATGCTGGAGGGTGATGTATGTCCCATGGGTCATGGGAGAGTGAACTGACTTGAGATTTCAATACTTACGTATAGCAATCACAGCGGAGGTCATTAGCAATTGCTTCCAAATTTACATCTGTATCCAGTGGGGGTTTAGTACCATTCTAAATAAAGAAATGATGATTTTTCATTGAGGCTTTAAAAGACCAATATTATTCCACACAGAAGGTTCTCAGTATATAGTAATGGCTACTTGAATGAATGTAACTAACTCCCAAACCAGTATTATAAGATTTTTTTTTACAAGTTTCAATTTTGAGAAATAAGGTTAAGAAGTAGATTCCAAATTTAGGAAAGCTAAAGGCAAACAACTTAATGCTCATGAAATCTGAAGAATTTATATGCCACTGCAGCAAAAATAAACCACCAGAAAAATAAAAAAGGTACCCTCAATCTTTTCAAAGGTGAAGACACATATACTTTCTTTGCCTGATTAAATATGGCACACACGTAAGCAGTGTTTAAGTTCTGATGTGTACATGCTGCATCTAGCAATGTGCAGTTGCTGAGAAAGGAGAAAGAATGTTGAATCTGGCTGGGAAAGAATGGGCAGTAACCTGCTTGCCAATAAAAGCCAAAAGCTCTCTGTGCTCACTATGTTATTTCTTAATCTTTTATCTAAAACTTAACTCTGACTTTGGTGCCAACTCTCCTTCAGCTCACATTCAGAGATGCTAGAAACAAGTATCAGAACAGTCTTAGAATTCCAGTGACATTTAACAGTACTTTGCATACGTTTAAAAAAAAAACACAACTCACTGCCATCGAGTCGATCTGATTCATAGTGACCCCTCCTTGGGTTTTTGAGGCAGTATCACTATGGAAGTAGATTGCCCAACCTTCCTTTCGAAGAGTGGTTAGTGGGTTTGAACTGCTAGCCTTCTGGTTAGCAGTCAAATGCCTTAGGTACTACGCCACTAGAACATACACACAGTACGTATTTAATAACATTTTTAGTGACTTAAATGGCAGAAGCAAACAAAACAGTTTTTAGTGACTTAAAATGTATGGCATAGTTAGATGGTAGGTTCATGAGTAACTGTTTTATAATTCTGATCCATATCTTACATATACATTGCATATATTCTTACCTTTGTAGCCAATAGTACATTATGAACTATTTTTTAAAAGAAACACACACAAAAAGTGAATAAACACATGACATGAAGCTCAAAGTTAAGTGTGGAATATTAACACAGCAGTGTACGCCAACCAAGGGCTCAGACTCAGGAAAACTGGCAGTGAGGTTTAGAGATATGATCCATCCAATCATCTGCCTTTCTGCCCGCACTTAAGACATTATTATCAATTCTTCCCAGCAAGGTACGTTGAAGAATTTCATAAAATGTACATCTGTCAGTTGTTGTTATTGGATAAAATGCAGATGTTCATCTAACACAGGTTTAAGACTTGGGAAATAAATTTTCTGTGTGACCTTAAGCAAAACAATCTTTGTGCTTTTTTTTTCTCCCCTCAGTTGTGAAACTAGACAGTCAGGCTGTAAGAACACAAAACAGGGATTTATTATAATGGAGACTAGAAATATTTGGAATTTCTAAGCTATTAATGCAGTAGGAAAGTCTGCTAACATTACCCTTCTCAGTCCCTCAACCTATTATTGGAGGAGATGGGATTAAGTTACCTCACTAGACATGAATCTCTATTAGGTTCTTTCATATCAGTGTTACCTTGACTGCCACAAAGCATCTGGATCTTCCCTATTTACATTTCATTTGCTGCTAGAGAATTCTACCTCAAACCCTCTACTGTTCTGTTTAATCAAACGATCAATTATAGGAAATAAATTCATAGAGGAGTTCCTGAAGGAGAATTCCTTTATCTTTCTCAATATTTAAATTTTACTCTACGATCAAGCTGGACTTTCACAAAGCTGTGTGTCCTCAAGAGTGCGTTTCTCTAACCCTTCACAAAACTGTTTTAATGACCTGGCTTTGGGTTATGCCCTCAGCTTACATTAAGAGAATACTCAGCCTCTGTCCTCAGAGGCTTACTATTGTGTTTATTAGAGGGATATTGTTAAAGACACGATTCATTACGTCTTAGTGTTCTCTTTATGAAAACCCAGAAGCGAAATTCCTGGGAGCAGCTGTAACAGATTTCTACAAGTAGGGCACCCTTTGTTTACATAAAGACAACAGATAAATGAGGTGGGGGTATAAATGTTTTTAGAAAAGTAATTAATAATCTGAAATTAATAGCAATTTAGTAAAATTAATAAAAATGATTAAAAAGCTTCCCCCCAAAGTAATAAATTAAATAAACAGAAACTGAAATGTATACTTAAAAATAATAATTTCCACTGCTTACTGGCTTTTCTAATCTTTTTTTTTTTTAAACTTTAGAGTAGTATTTTAGGAAATACTATCAATGGTAATGAAGGAAGAAGTCAAAGCTGCAATGAAAGAACTGGCGAAGAACAAGGCTCCGGGAATTGATGGCATACCAATTGAGATATTTCAACAAACAGATGCCCCATTGGAGGCACTCACTCAGTTATGCCAAGAGATTTGGAGGACAGCTACCTGGCCAACTGACTGGAAGAGATCCATATTTGTGCCCATTCCAAAGAAAGGTGATCCCACAGAATGTAGAAATTATAGAACAATATCATTAATATCACATGCAAGTAAGATATTACTGAAGATAATTCAGAAACGTTTGCAGCAGTATATTGATAGAGAACTTCCAGAGGTTCAAGCCGGATTCATAAGAGGACGTGGAACAAGGGATATCATAGCTGTTGTCAGATGGATCTTGGCTCAAGGCAAAGAATACCAGAAAGATGTTTACTTGTGTTTTATTGACTATGCAAAGGCATTTGATTGTGTGGATCATGACAAATTATGGATAACATTGAGAAGAATGGGAATTCCCGAGCACTTGATTGTACTCATGAGGAATCTGTACCTTGACCAGGAGGCTGTCGTTTGAACAGAACAAGGGGACACTACATGGTTTAAAATCAAGAAGGGAGTGCGTCAGGGTTGTATTCTTTCTCCACACTTATTCAATCTATATGCTGAGCAAATAATCCAAGAAGCTGGACTATATGAAGAAAAACGTGGCATCAGGACTGGAGGAAGAATCATTAACAACCTGAGATATGCAGACGATACAACTTTGCTTGCTGAAAGTGAGGATGACTTAAGGCACCTACTGATGAAGGTTGAAGAATACAGTCTGCAGTATGGATTACATCTCAATATAAAGAAAACAAAAATCCTCACAACTGGACCAATAAGCAGCATCACAATAAATGGAGAGAAAATTGAGGTTGTCAAGGAATTCATGTTGCTTGGTTCTACAATCGATGCCAACGGAAGCAGCAGTCAGGACATTAGAAGATGTGTAGCACTGGGGAAGTCAACTGCGAAGGAACTGTTTCAAGTGCTGAGGAGCAAGGATATCTCCTTGAGGACTAAGGTGCGCCTGACACAAGCCATGATATTTCCAATCGCCTGGTATGCATGTGAGCTGGACAATGAATAAGGAAGACTGAAGAAGAGTTGATGCTTTTGAGTTGTGGTGCTGGCGAAGAATGCTGAAAGTACTGTGGACTGCTAAAAGAACTAACAGATCTGTCCTGGAGGAAGTGCAGCCAGAATGCTCCTTGGAAGCAAGAATCGTCAGACTTTGTCTCACCTATTTTGGTCATGTTGTAAGAAGGGACCGTTCCCTGGAGAAGGATGTCATGCTTGGTAGGGTGGAGGGTCGACGAAAGAGGGGGAGGCCTTCAGGGAGATGGATTGATACAGTGGCTGCGATGATGGGCTCGAGTATAGCAGGGATTGTGGGGCTGGCGCGGGATCGGGCAGTGTTTTGTTCTGCTGTGCATGGGGTCGCTATGAGTCGGAAACGACTCGACGGCACTTAACAACAACAACAACAACATCTTATGGAAAAGAAACATCAGAAATTCAATAATCCCTTTAGTTTTGTTTTCTTGCAAATTTCAAATAAAATTAACTTTAAGTGATATATTTTAAATTTATTCCTATTCTTCATTCACGCATACTCCACAACCCCCACACCATGCTCACAGAAATGTCTGGAAAGACATTTGCACTAAATGTTAACATTGCATATTATTTTGCAGCAGTGTAATTTAGGTGATCTGCATTTTTCTTTGTATTTTGTATGTACTGCATATTATTTTTATAGTAGTAAAGTTGAAACTATGCATGTATCTTAGAAGTTAGCATATACCAACAGGGAGGGTAGAATTCAATACACAGTTGACTATTGAACAATGTGGGTTTGAACTGCATAGGTCCACTTATACATGGATTTTTTTCAAGATACAGATCTTGGAGATCAAGAGCTAACAGACGTCACACAAGAGGAACTAACAGAAGATGACTTGATGGAAATGGGTGCTTCTAAATCTTGCAGTGAGAAAGAAGATATAAAAGAAGCAGTGCCAGAAAACAAACTGACATTAGACAACCCTGCAGAAAGGTTCTCATTATTTGAGACTGCTTTTGACTTCTTTTACAAGATGAACCCTTCTATGATACAGGCACTGAGAGTAAAGAAAATGGTGGAAGAAGGATTGGTACAACATGTAGAGAGATGAAAAAGAAAAAAAGTCAAACAGAAATTACGATATAATTCCATAAAGTTATACCAAGTGCCTGCCTCTCCTGCCTCCCCTTCCACTTCCTCCCCCTCTTCTGCTTCTGCCACCCCTGAGACAGCACGACCAACCTCTTTTCTTCATCTTCCTCTTCCTCAGCCTATTCAACATGAAGACAATGAGGATGAATACCTTTATGATGAACCACTTCTACTTGATGAGTGTAAATAATCATCATGCTGTACAGTTAATAAACTTATCTGTTGTGTACGTGAGTGTCTTTGTGTGAAAATCTATTAACTATGGAAAGAACTTTGTTAATCAACTGTTTGTTATTAGTAAGACTTTTGTTCAACAGTAGGCAATTAGTAGTTAAGTTTTTGGGGAGGTCAAAAGTTATACACGGATTCTCAACTGTGCAGGGGGTTGGCACCCTCAACCCTTGCAGTGTTCAAGGATCAACTATAGCGGTTTCAAAATTCAAGGTTTATATGCCATTTCAGAGCTCTGGTGGCATAGTGGCTAAGGGATGTGATTGCTAACCAGAAGGCTGGTGGTTCAAACCCACCAGCCACTTTTTGGAAGGAAAGTTGGGCAATCTATTTCCATAGTGATACCACCTCGGAAACCCAAGGAGGGGTCGCTGTGAGTCGGACCCAACTTGACGGCATTGAGTGTGGTGTTTTTATATGCCATTTCAAAATACATTTTAAGAAAAATTTCTCCAATGTAACAGTCAAAGATCTAAAAGAACATAAAGTATGATTAGAGTGATATTTCAAATATGTTAGTCAAGAATTTAATGCTAACCACTTCCCATTAGTTAATCTCTATTTTAAACAAGTAAAATGGGAATGGACAGTCTTTTCAATGATCTGAAACAGTTCATCTTCCCTTTTGAGAGATACAGGCTGGGTAAACATTTAAAGCTATAGAAAGGAAAGTGATTAACCATCCTAAATTACTAACTGCTGTTGTTTATTTAAAATGAGAAAAAATACACACACAAATATACCATTTCCTTTACTTACTTTTGTGATAGTTTTTAAGATGGCAAGACGATCTGCTGGGGGTGGCAAACCCACAAAGAGTGTTTTATCTAGCCGGCCGGGGCGCAGGATTGCAGGGTCAATAATATCTAGATAGAAGGAAGGGGAAAAGTCTTAAATGAAACAGAATTTAAAAAAACATAATTAGCATGAAAGATGAAGAGCCCATCTTTCAAGCTGAGAAATTCCCAACAATTCCTCAGCCATTCCAGAGAGGCTTCATATAGCTCACAGTAGGACCACTGTTCTTATACAGCGTATACCTATAAATAAAGAGACTGATGTTTTCTACTGAACATAGTACAGTCACTAAGATTTGACCATTAACTTATTCATCTATAAAGAGAGAGAATTAAGTCATTTTCAGCTGAAACTCTGGGTCTATTAATGTTGTTCTTGAGTCACTTTGGGGAAGCTAGATACTTATTCAATGATTTTAGTAATACTCAACACATTGTTGGGATTCCTTTTGGGATGCTAGGATATAATACAAACTTGGAAGTAACCAAGAAAGATTACTGCATGACACTTTCAACATCATGCTACAACACTGTCCAACAAGCCTGTCTAAAGGTCACCTGACCATACAGGGCAGAAGTTCTCAAATATTCTGGTTTCAGGATCCCTTGGCATTCTTGAAAATTACTGAAGACCAAAAGAGCCTTTGCTTATGTGGATTATAGCTACCATATTAGAAATGAAAACAAAAAATGTAAAGATATTTGCTGTGAATTCATTTTAAAAAATAATACATTATATATTAGCATGAGTCACTTATTTTATGGAATATGTTTTCTAAAACAAAAACAATTAATGAAAAGAGTGGGATTACTTTCAAATCCTTTACTATTATTATGAAAATAATTTTGACCTCACAGATCCCCTGAATGTGTTTTCAGGGCTCCCAAGACTCTATGGACCACACTTTGAGAATTGTCGCCTGAAGTGCTGAATCATATTTGCTCAGGGAAGGTCCCTGACAGTAACAGTTCACCAGGACCATGTTCTCAAACTGGTGAGGAAGGAAGAAAGGGTGTGTCTGAGTGGTAAGAGCTCTATCATCACCAGATCAAGAAGCAAGCCAATACAATAAGTTTACCACTCTCCCTTTAGAGATTTTTTGTTTCTCTAAATTAGGAGGGAAAGGGACACTTTGGGGATTGGAGAAAAGTGTAGGTTTTTGGGTGGGGGGGAACAGTGTTACAAGTAAAGGAAGTATTTTATACCAAATATAGCTTCACAGAGAAATATGTGATCATGAATTCATTATTTTAATTAATATAACTTCAATATGTTTACTAGCTTAGTTTTCAAAAACCTACTTATTTATTAGGTCATATTATTCAAAATGATAAATTTGACTAACATGTAGTTCTCCAAACACCTTAAAATCAGTTTGGAAATGAAAACATAAACTACACAGTATTGACAACACAGTACTGGTTATTTCTTTAATAAAAAAAAAATTTTTGAGATCAAAATTTTTCTCTCACTCTTTTCCCTTTTACTGGAAAATTATGTATTTGTGCCGTTCCAAAGAAAAGTGACCCAAAAGAAGGCAGAAATATTGAACCACATCATTATTATCACACACAAGTAAAATTTTGCTGACAATTCACAAACAGTTACAGTACTATATCCACAGAGAAATGCCAGAGATTTAAGCTGGATTCAGAAGAGGATGTGGAACAAGGGATATTATTGCTGATGTCAGATAGATTTTGGCTAAAAGCAAGGAATACCAGAAAGATATTTACCTGTGTTTTATTGACTACGCAAAGGAATTTGACTGCATGGCTCATAAGAAATTATGGATTACATTACAAACAATGGGAATTTTAGAACCATTGTACTCATGAGGAACCTTTACACAGATCATGAGGTGTGTCTCATCTGAAGAGAACAAGGAAATACTGCATGGTTTAAAATCAGAAAAGGTGTGCATCAGGGTTGTATCCTTTCACCATACTTATTCAATCTGTAAGCAGATAATCCAAGAAGCTGGACTGTACAAAGAAGATCGTGGCATCAGGATTGGGGGAAGACTCAATAACAACCTGTGATATGCAGATGACAGAGCCCCGCTGTGACAGCTGGAGCTGTGTGTCAAAATGGCTGGACCACAATTCTTTGTGGTTTAAGCAGTTGTGATGTAGGTTAGTCCCATTATGGGATCGGATGTATATGTTTTGAGCAGCCAATCGGTTGAAGGAGAGTTTCCCTAGGGGTGTGGCCTGCTTCTAATATATGGACATCCTGGGAAAAGAGGCAGTCTTCTGTGGATCAGGATCCTGTTGTGTTGCCTATAACTGTCCGTGAGCGAACAATCCACCATTTGGCCCAGAGATCTTGGATTCATCGTCTGTTGGAGTCAATAGCAGGTATACTGCCTGCCAATCTTGAGCTCATCAGCTCCTGCAGCTGTCTGGAGTTGGGAAAAGCCTTCAGCTTAATGTCTGATCCAAGAACTTGGGATTTGCCAGTTTCTGTAAGTGCGTGAGCCATTTTCCTAAGATAAATTTCTCTTTATACACAGACACACACACACACATATGGTTTTGCTTCTCTAGAGAACCCAGCCTAACACACTTACTTTCTGAATATAAAGATGACTTGAAGCACTTATTGATGAAATAAAAGACTACAGCCTTCAGTATGGATTACATTTCAACATAAAGAAAACAAAAGTTCTCACAACTAGACCAATAAGCAACATTGTGGTAACTGGAGAAAAGACTTAAGTTTTCAGGGATTTCATTTTACTTTGATCCTCAATAGATGCCCATGGAAGCAGCAGTCAGGAAATCAGATGATGTACTGCACTGGGCAAATCTGCTGCAAATGACCTCTTTAAAATGTTAAACAGCAAAGATGTCATTTTGAAGACTAAGATCACCTGACCCAAGCCATTGGTATTTTCAATTGCCTCATATGAACGTGAAAGATGGACAATAAACAAGGAAGACTGAAGAAGAATTAATGCATTTGAATTGTGGTGCTGGTGAAGAATACTGACAATACCACGGACTGCCAGAAGAACAAACAAATCGGTCTTGGAAGAAGTACAGCTGAAATGCTCCTCAGAAGTGTGAATGGCTATACTTCATCTCACCTATTTTGACGATCTTTTCAGAAGGGACCAGTCCCTGGAGAAGGGTATCATGCTTGGTAAAGTAGAAAGTCAGCAAAAAAAGGAAAGATGCTCAATGAGATGGACTGCCACAGTGGCTGTAACAATGGGCTCAAGCAGAACAAAGATTCTGAGGATGGTGCAGAACTGGGCCGTGTTTTGCTCTGTTGTATATAGAGTCATTATGAGTTAGAGCCATCTTGACACCTAACATAGTCATAAGCCCTATTTCATCACCATGATTGACTTTGTAACTTCATTGTGTATCAAATACTCTAAAATTAAAAGGTATTCCAGTACATAAATTATAAAATCCATTGCAAAACAAGGAACTCTAGATAGGTAAAAGGTTCTAATTGTTATAATGTACCAGGAACAATAGAAAATCCTAATTTCTTTTCCAGCTAGCCTTAAAAATATGAGTAATTAAACTGCGGAGAGAAAATGCCAATAGAAGTAGTATGATATAGAATAGGCAAAAAGAAATATAATCTGTCCAATTATCAAATCTTACTAATCTATCTGCTCAAGTCATAAGCCCCTCCTCTTAATGACACTCTGACAAGTATAATCAACAGTTACTCCCCAAACATGCCTAAACAACAACAACAAAAAAAACAACCAACACCTCAAGCCCACTCACACTGAGTTGACCCTGACTCATAGTGATTGTTATAGGACAGAGTAAAGCTGTACCAAATGATTTTCAAGTCTATAATTATTTACAGAAGCAGATTGCCCCATCTTTCTCCTGTGGAGTAGCAGACAGATGCAAACTACCAACCTTCTGGTTAGCAGCTGAATGCTTTAACCACAGCACCATCAGAACAACAAAAAAAAACTCACTGCCATCGAGTTGATTCAACTCACAGCGACCCCTCCTTAGGTTTCTGTATCTCTCTACAGAAGTAGATTGCCCAATCTTCCTTCTGAGGAGTGGCTGGTGGGTTTGAACTGCCAGCCTTCTGGTAAGCAGTCAAATGCCTTAGGCACTATGCCACTAGAGCTCCCCCACAGCACCACAAATACCTAGACTTGTATAAAATATCCACAGGATTATATTTATCACTTTATTATATACAACTGCACTCGTTTTTAAGGAGCTCTGGTACTACAGTGGTTAAGGCATTTGGCTACTAACCAAAGACTCGGTGGTTTGAACCCACCAGCCACTCCGTGTGAGAAAAATGAGACAGATTGCTTCCATAAAGAATTTACAGCCTTGGGAACCCTATTGGGCAGTTCTATTCTATCCTATAGGGTTGTTATGAGTCAGTATCTACCTGATGGCAGTGGGTTTGGTTTTTTTTTGGCAAGCAGTAGTAAGGCAGAGTGGTAAAAGCAGAGTCTTTCAGTTCAGATAGACCTGGGCCTGACTTCCTGCTCTGCCATTTACTAACAATGTAATCTTATGCAAGTTTCTTAATACTTCTAAATCTTGTTTTTCCCCAATTGTAAAATAGGGATAGCAATACATTTATTATAAAGATTATTTTATGTAAAGCACTTTACCCAATAAATTTTGGTTCTCTGGTTGGAGTTTTTCCCTTCAACAATAAACAAGACTCATTCATAATTATTAAGAGAATATACCATACCTTTGTACAAATAATGCTTGCATTTTGTGTTTTTTGGAAACCACACAATTCATTTGCACATTAGTGTCCCATGAGTGCTATGCGCATTATATGTGTGCACATTATTTCCACAGGTGCACTATATGCAAAAAATACAGCAACATATTCTTCTAAAAATGAGTCTCAATTCTTTCTTGAGAACTTGGTAAAAACTGTAATCAGCTTTAATGAGGCATAACTGACACATAATGAACTGCATATATTTATGATGCACAATTTGATACATTTTGTATGTGCCTAAGGAACTCTGGTGGCATAGTAGTTAAGCATTCAGCTATTAATCAAAAGATTGGAGGTCTGAACCCACCAGCCCCTCTGTGGA